TGAAAACTTCTAAAGGAACATAACATTAGTAGCAGAGAAGACCAACTAGGGGATTGTCATCTTAAATAGAAGTAAACCATGATATTAGCTTTAATCAGGGTTTTGGTGATGGGAATAGAGAGAATTGGACATTTTCAAGAGCTGTTAAGGAAGCAGGATTAATTGAACTTGTCAAAGATTGGACTTGTGAATGGTAGAAAAAAATCTAGATGACCCAGTTAGCTTTCAGGTTTCTGGATTAGGCTGTTTGCAGGGTGAAAGGAAGGAGAAAGGATAAAGGAGGTCTGGGGAAATAATGAGATTTAAGATATCAGGCAAACATCAACTAAAATTGTCTATTAGGCAGTCAGATATATCACCCTGGGTTTTTTTTTTCTTTATTATTATACTTTAAGTTCTAGGGTACATGTGCACAATGTGCAGGTTTGTTACATATGTATACTTGTGCCATGTTGATATGCTGCACCCATTAACTCGTCATTTACATTAGGTATATCTCCTAATGCTATCCCTCCCCACTTCCCCCTCCCCGGTGAAGGACCGGTGTGTGGTGATGATCCCCTTCCTGTGTTCAAGTGATCTCATTGTTCAATTCCCACCTATGAGTGAGAACATGCGGTGTTTGGTTTTCTGTTCTTGTGATAGTTTGCTGAGAATGATGGTTTCCAGCTGCATCCATGTCCCTACAAAGGACACAGACTCATCCTTTTTATGGCTGCATAGTATTCCATGGTGTATATGTGCCACATTTTCTTAATCCAGTCTGTCACTGATGGACATTTGGGTTGATTCCAAGTCTTTGCTATTGTGAATAGTGCCGCAATAAACATACGTGTGCATGTGTCTTTATAGCAGCATGACTTATAATCCTTTGGGTATATCCCCAGTAATGGGATGGCTGGGTCAAATGGTATTTCTAGTTCTAGATCCTTGAGGAATCGCCACACTGTCTTCCACAAGGGGTTTTAAGAAAGAGGTTTTAAGAAAGAGGTGTGAACTAAAGATACATATTGGGGGAGGGTTCATTCGAAAATAGATACTATTTGAATGGGAATGAATGAGGATATCCAGAGAAGAAAACCAAGAACTGTGAAGAATACCAATATTAAAGAAAAACTGAGTTGGAATAAATGGACAAAAATGTGAAAGAATTAATCAGGAGAAAGCAGTATCCCATAAGCCAAGTGAGGAAAGAATTTCATGAGGGCAAAGAGGTTAATAGGTTCTAGTTCTACAGAGGGACTGAGTAAGATAAGGCACGTATATTCACATGTGTGTTTACAGGAGAGGACACTTTCTTAAAGATGAAAACACAACCAGTTTAAAGGCTGATGATAGAGAACCGGGACATAGATTTTTGACAATCTGGATATACAGCTGAATGGAAGCTGGTGGCTTAATATACAGGGATGCTGCTGAGAACATACACACAGAGATGAACCTCAACCAGGTGAAGCCTAGCCTCTTCCACCAAGGCAGGTGGGAAAAAGAAGAGAGAGACAATGAGCACAAATACCCACAATCTGAGAAATATTATTTTGACTAAAGTAGGAGATGAAGTCATTTACTGTGAATGACGGGGAAAGTTTAGGTACCCCACAAAAGCTTGAAATAATTGTTGAGAGAAACTAAGGAGAAAATACACTTAGGATGAACGGAAAGCTTATGAAGAACTGCTGGTTTTGTTAAAATATGTTATTAAAGAAATGGAGTAATGCCTGACAATGACAACATCTACATATAATCACGACAGCAGGTAGCTGAATTGAGGAGATGAGAGAAACAGAAGCTTTTAGCAATAGCAGGAGAGCCCACAGGGATGCTGAAATGACTAAGAATGAAAGAACAACTTGGGTGAAAAAGTCTACTAACCTAGTGCCAAAGTCTTCAATGAGAAAATATGATAAAATGGTAGATAATAGATGGCCAGAAGTCATTAACTGCAAGGAAAGAGGTATTTTTACATCAAGAGAGCAGTATCTTTGGAATTGTCTCTGTTAGGTGAGGGAGTCAGTCATTCTAAAGTAGTGGGGGTACAAAAGAGGGATGAGTCACAGTGCTGTTTTTGAGGGTAAAAGTGGTTTCCATGTATGAGCAGAATAAGTACACAGGACAGAAGTCTTGTCTGGAAAAAGGGTTTGAGCCTGCCGAGTGAGAGAGTGTGGGAAAGCAGAGGAAGTGAAGCAAGGACAAGAAAGTGCGAAAGAGCATAGAGAGAAAGATAGAAGAAAGGATAGACTCGAGGTGCCTATATTCTGGGTAGTAAACACAGATAACAGAGATAGGAGAAAATGGAAGAATTAACTGGCTTGATGATTTCCAGTGGGAGTTAGTAAAAAGTTGATTCCGAAAGAGTGTAATCAAATGTAGATCCCATGAAGAGCCCAAAGCCAGATGACCATAACGACTTGATAGGCAGGCTTTCAAGAGAAACTGGTACAAGCTCCAGATTTTCAGACACCTTATCAAACCCCCTTGCGATCAGAGAAGGCCATTTTTTTTTATTACCAATTTACGTTACCATGTGCTCACTGAAGTAATTTGAGTAGTTAGAATCTGTTAATTCAGCTAAAAAGTCTGAACTGTGGTGACATTAAAAGAATGTGAGAGGGAACCGCTAGGTAAAGCCCAAGATTGTGTCCTAGAATATTGATTCTCAAGCCTTTATGTGCATAGGCTTCGCTCCTGGAAAATGTTCAAAGGCAAATTTTGATTTACTAGTTCTGAGATTCTATATTTCTGACAAGCTCCCAGACAATGTCAATATTTGTGGTCCAGGGACATTTTGATTAGAAAAGTTCCCTAGAAATCAGTTTTTAAATAAGTGCATTTTGTTAATTATATGAATAAAACACATGGCGAATATACAAGGAAAAAAATTATGCTTAGGTTTAAAAGTTCCATTTTTAAAAATATGTGAAATTGAACTGATAATGGCCTATGATATGCTAATTGGCTAAAAGCACTTGAAAGGAGTAAATGAAGAAATCAAGTGGAAAAAAAAAAGAGTTGGTAATATTTAGCCATTTTTATTAATACCACTCAAGTTCATGACACGAGCCTGCCATGAGTTCAAAATAACCTATATAAACTGACAGGTGATATAGTAAGAAAATTAATGTATACCTAAACTGAATATCCTTCATCATTACTATGTATTTCTCTTGAGGATTTTTAATACATATACATTATATTGAGCCTGAGGGAAACATCAAGGTAAATCATTTCATGTCCTATTTCAGTAGGCAATTAAGAACGATGTTGTTATTTCAGAAAATGAGAGTTCAGGGCGATAAAGGGGACTCACAAGGTATCAGAAAACCAGTTATAAAATACTGTACATTTTTGAGCACTTTTAGTCTGTCAAGCTCCCACTATTGATAAAATGCAAATCGTTCAAAGGCAACCATGTAACACGAACTTTTATGATTTATATTCCTGAAATACTGGAACTCAATTTTCCTGCCTGATCAAAGCTGTTTTAAGATAAAGAAACAAACTATCAGACAGAAACCTATAAGAATCAAATCAATAACCATTTTTAATTAGTTGATAAAATGCCAAAGGTGATTCATATTTTCTGTGGTCAAATATGTGACATGAACTTTGAAAATCAGAGTTTAATGTTCTCTAATTAGTGTTCTACTACTCAGATAATTTCCCTCAAAAATCATAGCAAACAATATACCTTCAAAGTAAACTTGAAAAATGACATTTTGCCAATTTTCTACAATTACATATTATCCTTCAGTTTAATTTTAAAACTCAAACATTAGTAATATAATCATATTTCTCATTTCTTGAAACTGTTTAGAATAGTCTATTACAATGCTGACAACATGTCTTATAAAGTTAATAAATAATTTAAAATAACTTTCCAATTTATAAATAGTTAACTCTAAGAAGAACCGGTGATGAAATTGTCTCCCCTTTTTCAAGCAGCCTAAAAAATAGATTTTTTTTCCAGAATATATATATATATATATTTTTTTTTGTTTGTTTTTCTCCAAAAGTTCCAACCCCAACAGCAAACATTAGCTTGTAACTGAGGTAATGTTGTATTTGTAAAAATACAATAGATTTTGAACTTCAGGATTTGAATCCTAGAAAGAAAAAGCAGAGCTAATGTACACATTTAGATGTGACCTTCCCATGGATAGAATTACTTTTCATTCATAATCACTGTTTTTTTAGCTTGCGTATTGTATTTACTCTGCCTGTTAGAAATTCTTTTACAAACTGTTGCCGATCATATACAAAGATGCATGTTTTATAATTGTTGAAGTCGAAAAATTAAAGCTTTGACAATTTCCCTAAAGATGAAGCAGCTTATATTAAATAAATAAAACTTCCTATTTGTGAAGGTCAAAATTATACCATCTCAGAAGGGAATAACAACAACAAAGCATCTGTTACCACATGTAAATACTGAGAAAGGCTGCACATCTTTTAGTTAAGGTAATACACAAATACTTGGGAAATTTAAATACCTTATAATATATGACAGGGATTGATGACTATAAAGAATAACTTTTTGATAATAGTGAGCATATAAACATGGTCCTAAGTATAGTATCTATATTATTCTATTCTATTTTACACTATTCTACTCTACACAATTCTGCAAGCTTGCTAAGGCCTAGCCTTGAGGTAACTGAACAATATATTGAAGAAATCAACATGAATTCATGTTATAAAATTGTTATAGTTAAATAATACGTAAGTTAAGGTAAGTTTATGAAAGGCATCCCTAGTCAGTCACAGAAGAATCCAGAAAGATTTCTCTAGGCTAAACTTTGATTTTGCTTGCTATCTAAAATATACTTTAAAGATATATTATTTTATCTTTAAACATTTTATCATTTAACATTTTATTATATTGCACATTTAAAATTTTATATTGCATTAATCTATCAACTAATAGAATCACAGATAACAAAGCACGGAGTTTACAAGCAGCACAAAATGTGTACACATATAAAAATTAATGCATAACCTACATTGACTTTTTCTTTTAAGTCTGAGAAGTTGCCTTCCTTCCGATAGATTGCAAATTCAGGACTCTGCAACACGGCTTCTGAGCGAGTAATCCAACTGTGAAGTTCAGTTATATCAACATCCAACCTAAGACAGCAAAAAATAAAAGTCATTATTTCTTATCTCTTTCTTCTATATAAAAAAAGGAATTTATCTGCATTTATCATTCTTTCCTCAATCTGAGACTCCTGCCTGATGCCTCTATTAGTATTAATAGCACCACTATTTTCCCCGTTGGGTAGACTCAAATTTGGAGTCAGCTTTGATCTAGAGTCTTATGATCACAGAGGTCATTTTATTCACCTCAATGTAAAAATCACTTGTACAATATCTCCTGTAAGCTATTACCCAGCCTCTGCTTGAATGTTTGCACTATTTAAAAAAGTACTACCTCCCAAGATAACCTTTTGTTTTTGGAAAGTATTTACGAGAAAAAAGAAATTCCTGTTGGTGGTCACCATTGAACCACATGCTCTTCTGTAGTCTCCAGTCATATTGCCTCTGGGTTTGGCCACGTGACTTTCTGTCACAAATGGGACAACAGTAAGAGTATTGCAAGTAAGGTTTTGATAAGTGCTTTCATGTCAGAGCTTGACTTTTTAGAGCACACACCCTGAGAAGGCAACAATTATATAAGAAGTACAATGACCTTGAGGAGATCATGTTTTAAGGAAGTTTAATCTATCCATGTGAAGAGGCCACATGAAGAAGCATGGGGCACCAGGAATGCAAATAAAGCCCTCTGTGACCCATCTCAATGCCAGCTGAAGACAGACAAATGAGTGCTCCAGTTGATGCCACATAGAGAAAAGAAATGCCCAAAGGGCACTGCCCAAGTTGAAGAACTGTGAGAAATAATAAGTGCTGCTTTAAGTCACTACATTTTGGTGTAAGTGGTTATGCTGCCATAAATATCAGATCGCCTATCCTGTTATTTTCAAACTTTTTTTTTTTTTTTTTTTTTTTTTTAGAAATCTTCGGAGCCACCAGAGATAAATTATTCATTGTAATCAGGTGATTTAGGTATAGAAGAGCCAAAATATGGACTCAACCCAAGTGTCTAATAGAATAGTATTAAGCCTTTAAGAATATGAATATCCTTTCATTTGCAGCAACATATATGAACCTGGAGGAAATCATGTTAGTGAAATAAGCCAGGTGTTATGACATGATCTCATTTACATGTCTCAAATACATATGACATATCTCAAATACGACATGATCTCATTTACATGTGGAATCTAAAGAAATCAAACTCAAAGAAACAGAAGACAACGTTAGTTTCCAGGAGCTGGTGGGGGTAGAGAGTAGTTGGAAAGATATTGGCAAAAGGATACAAAATTATAAATATTTGAAATCAGCTCTTTAAATTCATCAGTAGATACCTGATCGTCAGCCTACCCTATGCTTAGTCACTTCAGTGGATATTCTATGGTTTGTTGGTATCTTAGTTTCCTTAAGTTTGGTACTTAAAGGAAACATATCAGTAGTGTGTAGTATAAATAAGGAAGAATAGACAATTATCTTTTTGGTTTATAATACTTTCATTGATATAGCCCATGATTTCAATAAATATTTTCACTTCAATATTAGACTTTCAACTCACATTGCAATTCAATTGAGTTAAAACTTCTAGAATGTTTTCACACAAACTATCATTAAACCAGTTATATCACAACCTAATTACTATCACAAACTTGTGACCTGGTCTATTGAACTCCAATTTCGGGACTTTGAATCATACAAACCTGTTAGAATTTCTCACATTAGTTGCAGGCTATTGTTTTAAAATTAAACAGATACAGAACTTAATGGAACACAAAGCCCTTACAAAAACATATTCTCATTTTATATTCTTACAAAATTCTTTGGTTGGGTAATCACCAATTCCAACTGCCCATAGGATGAGATGGCGCTTCAGAGAAATTAAGTTAATTGACCTCAGTACCATGGATCAGAAACTTATTTTAACTAGTTCACAATCATGTCCTTCCACATCAAAAAGGGGATGGTTCATAGCATACAGATTGAGTTGTTATTTATCAGGGCTATCCAACTTGAAATTAAGAGACTAGGGATCTTGATTCCTCTAAATTCCATGTCATTGAATGTCAGTAAGTTATTTGTATATGCATTATAAATGTTTATGGATTTTTATTGTGTGATACATGATTTTTATCTTTCCTATATATTTTATCCACAAATTTGATTATCAGGTTTCTATTTCTTCATTCATAATGTTGATTAAAATATAGAGTACAATTACATGCTGTAAAAATCTTTCTCTCACACTCTCTTCAGCGATGTTAACTCCTTGAATAAATACTCTCCTACTATGGTCATTTGGTAACCTACCCAAACGAGTGCATCATTTATGCAGATTTATCACAATGTCTTAAAACATTTTCATTTTTGCTTTGGCCCAACATAAAATTTCCTGTGTCTCTCAATCTGCAAGCATCTACTTGCCAGTATATTGGACAGAGGAGTGCTGGAATGTTAATACTTCAGGGGTGACCCTTAACCAGTGAGAGCTTGGAATTGGTGGATCAATATCCCAGCTCCCTTGCTCCTCAGTTAGACAATACTGAAGTATGATTCACACAGTGTTTCAAAGGTTTCCCTGCATGATTGAGCTCCAGTTCCTTTCAGCAGTAACCTGATCCCTAAATGTGTGCCATCCTTTATTGGCTACTTTATTTTTCTTATCTCACTTCCCTACTTTGATTCCTGGGGTCACTTTCCAAATAAACTGCTTGCATCTGAATTCTTCTCTTCAGATCTACTCTTGGGGCAACCCAAACTAAGGCCATAATCAACACCCTCAAATGAACCTAGCATCCTGCCATACTTTTTTCTTTTTTTTCCCCCCAAGTTGGGCTCTGAGTCTCTACAGGAACTATTTAAAACCTTTTTTCAAAGCTCTGGCCCATCCTCTTTCTGCAGCTCTCTCAGCAGATGATCTTGTTCTCTACCTTATAGAAACAAGTAGAATTATCAGAGTAGAACTTTTGCACTTCCTATTTCCAAACACCATCAGATCTGCATGTGTAGCCACCATTCTCATTCCATTCTCTTACATTTGAGTTTCCCTTCTTTTAATTAAAATCATTCCCACTACCTACATTTTGAACTTTATTCTCTTACTTTTGCTCGAGCATCTGAGTCCATCCATTTTCTAATATTTATTTGAGACGGAGTCTCACTCTGTCACCAGGCTGGAGTGCGGTGGTGAGATCTGGCCTCACTGCAACCTCTGCTTCCCGGGTTCAAGGGATTCCCCTGCCTCAGTCTCCCAAGTAGCTGGAACTATAGTTAACACTGTTGACCATACTCCTTTTGAAATTTTTCTTCCTTTGGCTTCATGATGCCACTCTATTCTAATTTGCCTTCTATTTCTATGACCATTGGTAATTTTTTCTTTGCAGGTCCATCCTCCTCCACCCTATCATTACGTACTAGATTTGATCATGCCTTGAATTACAATCTATTTATCAATGACTCTGATACGTGTATCTCTAATTCAGGCACTTCTTCTGAATTCCACAGCTATAAAACCATCTGCCTTTTGGATGTCTCCACTTGCATGCTGCAAAATCTCCTTAAACATTATATGCCAAGGTTTAATGTTTGATCTTCTCCCTCAAACTAGTACTCTATCAGTATTCCCCAGATCAGTAATTAGCATCACCACCCCTCATATCTGTTATCTTCATTTCTGCTATGGACTGAAATTTGTGCCCCACAAAAGTTCATATGTTGAAGACTAATTCCCAATGCGATGATATTAAAAGATGAGGTATTTGGGAGGTGATTAGGTCAAGAGGGTAGAGCCCTCATGAAATGAGTACTCTTAAACTCATCTGAAGAGATCAGCGTTCTCTTCCACCATGTGAGGGCACAGGGAGAGGGTACCATGTATGAACCAGGAAGCCTGCCCTTACAAGACACTAAATCTGCTGGTTCCTTGATATTAAACTTCCCAAACTCCAGAACTGGGAGACATAAATTTCTGTGCTTTATAAGCTACCCAGTGTACAATATTTTGTTACAGCAAACCAACTAAAACCCTCTCTCTTCCTTCCCATGTTTAATGTATTGCAAAGTCTATCTGTCACACATACATTCTCTATCTCCTGAATACGTATGCTTCTTCCTGTCTCCATAGCCAGAACCCAAATTTGTGTTGCCATTAAATGTGACCAAAAATACTGCAAAGCTTTTCACTTGGCCTCTGGGCAATATTTACAGAACCCTCTATTTTACGTACTACTGGAAAAATTTTCATTTTTTTTAATTGATGCATAAAAGATGTACTTAGTTTGGGGGTACATGTGATAATTTAACACATCCATATAATTTGTAAAGATCACATCAGTGTACTTGGGATATCCATCATCTTAAATGTTTGTCTATACTAGATACATTCAAATTATTCTCTTCTAGCTACTTTGAAATATAGAGTAGTAAAAACATACCTGATTATATTACCTTCATTCATAAAACCATTCATTTTTCTTAAAGAACAAAATTTCAATATGATCCTTTATAATCTGACCTTCATAGACCTCTTAACTGTATATTTTATTCAAGTACTTGTAGAAACAAATTTCCCTTCATATTTTCTAAAGTAATTCAGAGCTATTCTTTATTCTTGTTCCTCCTCCAATGGAATAAAATCCTTCACTGACTCTCCCAAAATATTTCAAAAATTTAGTTGTTAGTATAATGCATTTGGGCCACTTTGGTGAAATTCATTTGTCTGACTCAATTATACATCAGATACCCTCTGACTCATAAATGTGAGATGGGAATATCCAACAGTCACTTTCAAATTCACGCTTTAAATTTAATCTCTCTAGTCTCACCCTCTTTTTCATTTAGACTATCTCTAGGGAAGATTGCTCACTTCTACTTAGAGGTCCCTGAAACCCAAACGTGGCTCAAGGTGCTAGGCTGACATCACGGCTGAAAGAAATTTGCTAAAGCCTGTGTTGGAGAAAGATTTCTACTAGGCATAAAATTGACATTGCTCTTGTTTGCACACTGTAGGGGCTCAGAAAATGATGCCCCAAAGTATGGCACTT